ACACCCTTAATTGGCTAAAGTTTGAAAATATTTTCCTTTTCCACCCATTTTCTAAGCGATAACCCTAAGTGCAAATAGTAAGTTTTCTCTTGTTAAAATATAAATACTTTTAAATAACGGCATTTCAAACGATAAATTAACACAATAAAAAGGATAGAAACTTATCCAAAATTCAAAAGACCTAAGAGATCATTTCTACTATCAAAAAACCCTAAATGGTGGGTGTCCTCCACTTTGTTTTGGTCAGAGCATAATCAAGTGAAAAAACCGGCCATGGAAGAACACCTAACCATATCACAATCATAGGAAAAGTAAAGGTACCTAAATTTATCAGAAAAAAATATTTTCTGTTTATTTCAAATGACATAATTATCTGGACCGTAAAAAATTGATAGTGATTTTTTAACCACGACGATGACATATTTTGTCATTGAATAGATAGAATTAGATAAAACACTAATAAAGTTATGTCTCGACGTCTCGTACACTTCTTCGTCAATCTTGGCCTATTTAATATTTAATATATCAAACATAATGCAATATTATGAATAGAGTAATTCTATTTTTCAGCATGATGATAGAATGTCGGTGATATGGCAATCCATATGATCAATCATATTATTCCACATAAATTGTCACATTTGATTTTGACAAGTTGACATTTAGAAATAGTGATGAAATTGTGACATATAGCGGTAACACATTAAATGACAGAGAAAAAAAGTGTCGTTCCCAAACTAAACACAAATATTTCATAAACTAATACTTTTTTTTAAAGAAAAGTGTAAAAAAAAATCTTTTTAAAGTTTGTTCCAAACTCAGTTAGGTAGATATGTTGGATGGGGCTATGAAAATGTCAAAATATGGACCGAGAATGAAAAGATGTCGTATTGTCTCTAGTTGACCGCTCGAGCGTCGGGATGAAATTTTTAGCAAAGAGCAGTCGCCGCCCTAGCGCTCGAGCAGCGCACTTGCTGCTTGCATACCGCAAGCCAGCAGTTGAGTATCGCGCTTGTCTGACCCAATATTGTTTTCTTTATTCCACGCAATTTTTGATATTATTTCCATCTTTAAAACTATTAGTATGATTTGGACATGTACACCCTACATATAATTGGCTCTTCTTTATGTGCCTGTTTATCAACCATTATTGAGAAGAAAATGGCGTAATGAATAGTATTTTTTGGAAAATGTGTGATTGAAATTGAAAGAAACTTTATCGGTTTATGTGTAGATTATTTTATTATTTGAATGTGTGGTAGAGATTGATTACTGTAGAAAATAATTTTTTGCAAAATGGTAGACAAAATGAAAACATTTTGCAAGAAAATTTGTGCTATTAAACACCCTTAATTATCTACAGTTAGAAAATATTTTCCTTTTCCACCCATTTTCTAGGCTATCAAACGGACCTTAAGTGCAAATAGTAAGTTTTCTCTTGTTAAAGTATAAATACGTTTAAATAACGGCATTTCAAACGATAAATTAACACAATAAAAAGGATAGAAACTTATCCAAAATTCAAAAGACCTAAGAGATCATTTCTACTATCAAAAAACCCTAAATGGTGGGTGTCCCCCACTTTGTTTTGG